TTCTGACTGCCCTGCCTAAAGCCTCATAATACTTTGCCAGTCTGACTCCAATATCTTCTTTATTTTAAAGGCAGATACTACAATACATTTTTAAAATTCCCAAGGCCAATGTATTTTATAGATTGTCTACTGTCTGCCCTTAAAATGTTCAAGCTGACATCCCCACGGGACATTCCAGCCTGCAGATGTTGCAAGAGGTGACCTACAGGAGAAACATTGTTCATGCCCGTGTCCTGTTTTATATTTCAGTGCTCGGTCACATGCAACACTGGAATGCAGACAAGGTTCCTACGATGCGCTGAGAAGTTTGTTTCTGGGAAGTACCGAGAGCTGGCCTCCAAGAAGTGTCTGCACCTGCCCAAGCCTGCCCTGGGGCTGGAGCGTGCCTGCACCCCAGCACCTTGCCCCAAGCACCCCCTGTACCCCGCTGCAGGGCCCCCACGGGCCGCCTGGTTCACCTCACCCTGGTCTCAGGTAGGGACGCTAAACTCTCATTGGGTGGGAGGCCTGATGCTGATGCTGGCTCGGGCGGAAGCATCTGCAGGGTTCTGTCCACAGTGAGGATTCGGCAGACTAGAGACCTTCTCCGTGGGGTGCTCAGTGGTGATGCTTCTGGGGTCCCTGAGGTCACACAGGCCTCCTAAAGTGTCACCTGACTGAGTGTAGGAACATGGCATGAGCTTGGCAAAGTTGGGCCAGAATTCCCCATAGATGTGAGTGAGTTAACCACAGAGCGGCCTTCCTCCTCTCCCACGTCTCCCTGGACTCTCAGAGCAAGTCCGCCGATCCTGCCCTAGCCACCTGTGCTCCATGTCCCGCACCTGCCATGCACTGCGGACCGTCACACACACCATCGGTGGCTCTGCTCCTCGGCTCCTTTGTTTCTGGATTCTTCTGGGTCCCTGGGTCATGTTCTCACTCCTGCCCCTCCCACTGGGGTGTCTGCCCTCTGAGCTGGGCGCACATCCACGTACAGATGTATTGGGGTTACCACACTCTGAGTTCTCATCTGTTGGCCAGGGCAAGTCTTTTTCTGAGTGACACAGCAGTTTCTTCTCTACGACAGACCCATGCTCTGTGATCCCCTCCTTTCCAGAGATATGAGGGAGAAGGAAATGAAGAGAAGAGGGGTTGGATTTGGGATGGTGACCTCATCTGTGTCTATCTCTCCACTGTCTGCTCCTCACACTCCTGTTCTCTGGAATGCATTTATAGAATCTCACACTGGGGACGCCAACAATTAAAGCAGTGACAACAGCTGACATCAACTGAGAGCCCCACCTGCTGGTTTCTCATGCGTTGTGGGGCTACGGTTCGTGTCTCCCTTCCAGCAACCTGTAGGAGGTCCCAGGAGTCTCCCATTGCACAGATGAGAAACTGAGGCCCAGAGAGCTGTCGGCCCGGAGCCAGTGAGAGGCAGAGGCTGGCTCAGCCCCTGGCCTACGTGTACTATGTGATTTCAGCTCTGGCTGTACACGTGGGCTTCCTCTGTGGGTTGTCCTGAGCGGTGCACAGCAATGCTGGCCACCAGCCCACTATGGCCTGCCCGCAGCTTCCGGGCAGCAGGAAGGCTGCATAGAGCAGGCCCGAGCCCCTTGTCACCTAGGGTGGAATGTGGTTTTTCATGAGGAAAGGCAGGCCGCAGGCGTGGTCATTCATTTCCTGCTTCCGTGCCCCTCATCCCGGCAGGACTTCATAACCCCATTCAGGAGGTCCACCCCTCACAACAAAGGGGAGAAGGTGTGTGTTTCAGTCACACAGCAGCAGGGGCCATTGAGCCACACAGATCACAAGGAAAATTGCTCCACGTCCTCGCAGACTCTGGCCTTCCTTGATCCTCACAGCCCTTCCCCCAAAAAGCACTCGAACCAATGCCTGTCCTCCATTGCTGTCAAAGAACCTTCCAGGGCCTGTGTCTCTGGAACACGTCCCAGGGGGCCGGCCAGCTTGTCATAGCACAGGGACAGTGCAGTTGGCTGCATGGGGCACAACCGCTGTCCCCTGCCCACCTCGTGCCACTGCCCACAAAGTGCTTCCTGCCTGGACAGACCCAGCGGTCACCTTTGCTGTCTGTCCATGCCTTCCCTGCTTCCTGCATTCACATGGCAAACCTACAGCCAATCGGGGCTGTTGTACTTGGACTTGAATCCCTGCCTTACGGCAGTCACTGCTTTGCCACAGAGATTATTATAACACACACACTCTGTATATTTGCCTCTATACGTGTACACGTTTATATAGGCATGTGTATGTATTTACATGTGTGTGTAGTCCACAGTGCCAACCACAGAGCCTAATCCATACTAGCAGTAAAAGGAACATGTGCTGACCATGTGCATCTGAAAGAGTATCCGATTCAGAGAACCAGACAGAGCCGTTGCTCACAGTCTTTGTCCCCACAACGTCCCTCACCTGGTTCACAGTTGCGGCAGACACCGGCCTTAAGGTTGCTCCTGTCGTCTGTGGACATGGCATGTCCCACTTAGGGACCCATTTATAGTGCCAGCATTTTTAGAAGACCAAAGGCAGCCCTCACTCCCTTAGCCCATGCTATCTCCCCACTCAACTCCAGTTAGATTTGAAACAGATGCATCTGGCTTCCCAGGTCAGGTTGCCAGCTTGCAGTGGGCTGGAGATTTGGAATGTGTGTCTCAGATCAAGAATACTCCCCGAGTATCCGAGTATGTTTCTCTGATCAGATGGGGGATGAGAGTTCACAGAGAAAGCAAACGGAGTGTAGCTGACTAGCTAGCAAACCTGCCCCAGCTTGCTTTT